ATTTACTTATATTTTTCTATATTCTTAACTAATTTTATGTTTTGAATTGCTATTATTTTTAGTTTATACTAATTTTAAGTTTAAGAATTTTCTTAATAAATTGTTTTAAGAAAAACTTTTTCTACTAATTTGCAATTTTTAATTGGTCAAAACCAAAATCAACAATTATCTCCAAATTTAGTATAAGAAACAGGATATCTTGTATTAAGAGAAAAGAAAGAGCATTTAAAATAACCTGTAGTTTATTAAGATAGGCTTTTACTCAAGATCTTTAGTTTAGCAACAACAAATTTTTTAGAAATTTTTAGAAATTTTTCAAAAAATTTTAGAGAATTTGTCTAGACCCTGGAAATCTGATCTTAAAATATATAAACAACAACAAAATAACAAACATATAAGATCAGAAAAATAAAGTATAGCAAAAGTTCGTTTTGATTGGCTAAAATTTGAATAAATATAATTGGTAATGATTTTTTATTTATACAGTCAATTGTAATTTTTAAAATACTTTTATTAGTAAAAGTCAGCATACCATATAAAAATTTTTTTTGTAATACATAACAAAACAACAAACTTAATTACTTATTTTTCACCTTTAAATCTACTGTTTTTTAATAAGAGATACAGTAAGATACAGAAGTTCAAGAAAATAGATGAGAAATGAATATTTTGAAAAGTCAGAAAAATGGTTCAGTGATCTAAGCAAATAATAAATGAAATGTAAAACTTTGTTTTAACTAAACTTATTTACTGTAAAATAAAAAAAAACAACCTATTTTGAATTACTATTCTAAAACTTTTTATTGTATTTATTTAGGTTACGAATATAGATTATAAATATAGGGAATTGTTATTTCTATCATGGCAAATTGTTATTTTTACTATAGTTACACATGAATTTCTATTTTTAGTATTTAGTATATTTAATATAAAAAATATAATAAGTTAATGGAGAAGTTTAATGCTCACTAGTGGTGAAAATCACCATATCATATGATTATATTAAAACTGGTTAAAACTGATTAAAACCGGTTGCATACATAATTAAAAAACATTAGATTATTTATTATCTATCGTTATTGTAAATTTATATAAAAGCATGTCTTTACTTTATCGTTATTGTAAATTTATATAGAAGCATGCATTTACTCTCTATCGTTATTGTAAATTTATATAGAAACATGAAATTATTTACCTGGGTATAACAGATGAATTGTGTATATATACGTCTATAGTTGCAATAACAATACATACATATGTACTAGAACTTCAGTCTTTAAACTTTAATTTAAACTGAAGTTTTGAACTACATATAACAAGACTGTTTAAGATACGTAGATGGTTCGCAAAAGAAATTTGTTACAGATTTTCACTATATCAGATACTACGTATAAAAATTTTATTTATAAATCTACTTACCCTAACACGACAAAAAGATATGTTTTGCTAACCATAAGTAAATTTATCTGCATCTATCACTATACGTACGTACGTACTTATTATATATGGAGTTATACAATATCGATATATGCATATTTTAATACGTAAGTGTACCGTGCATATGCACATGTATGTACAAATACAAAAAAAGAATTTTTGCATGTGATAACAGCTTTAACCTAACCATAAATATAACCCTAACACTATAACATACGTATATACGATATTATAATACTCAGCAAAAAGAAAGAGCTTAAGTCCAACAAAATAAGCCAATATCGTATTCGCATTCATAGCTAGTCTAAAGGAACCTACTCAAGATCCATTGATATAAACATAAAGATTAGTTTTCTTTAATATTTGGACACTTTTTTTGATAGTGACCTGGTGTTCCACATAGCAAGCACTTGCGTTGTGGTCTTGAGCTAGATTCTTCATTATGGTTTTCTTGTCTAGTATTAAGATTTGTAGTTTCACGCATTACATTTTTCTTCGTTGATAGTTCTATAGCGCTTTTGATTCTTTTTTTGCTGGGAGCACCTCAAATTTTAGTAACATGTAGATCATTTGTTTGTTTGATCAAATCTTGTTGTAATGTAATAATACTATCACTATTCAGATTATTTTCACTGCTTTCTGCTTCTTCTAAATTATCATTCTTATTGTGGCTATTTTGTTTAGTCAAAATGAAAGTCTTTAATAATTGAATTAATTCATCATCACTCTTTGTTTCCAATGCAACGTTAATCGCCATTTTAGCTGTTGAAAAAGCTATTCCAAATTTATTTTTCTGGGGAATAATGCGCTGAATATTGGATTGATGGCCAATGCTCTGAAAATTTCGTAAACTTTGAAGAATATTATTTGCTTGAATTGTATGTTCGCTTGATGATTCTAAGGCTGTAAGAACCGGCGAGTTGTCAAGAAATTCATCTAATTTCGTCAAAATATCGTTCTTATACTATCGAATTGGTATAAGACTAATATGAAATTTTGCAGCATTGGAATAAAGCATGACCCGCCAAAAATGACGGCAAATAATTCCTTTTGTTATTGTTTCCAAGCAGGTACAAATATGTGTTTCATCATTAAGAAGAACTACCAGATTGTCTTTATGAGAAAGGCCTCCAATTCGACAAATTCTCAACTTTTCAATAATATTGGACATATTAGTACTATCTAAAATAGCCTTTAATGTTGCCTGGGGTTCATCGACTACATCTTCTATAAAATTATCACTTATAATGTCAATACACAAGTCCTAGAATAGAATAAATAAATACTTTAGCTTTTAACTATACTACTTTAATTCAAAAATAAGATATGATATGCATCGGATACGCATCGTCCTCATAATTAAAAAAAAAAAAATAAGAGCTATTTACTTCAGATATTGAGTGCTCTAATCATCCTTCATAAGTAAAAGACTGGAAAATTTGAAACTGTTGTAAAGATAATATAAGAGGTGGTAAAAAATTAACAAGAAGTTTATCAACACTTGAAAAGAATTAAGATGAAATATGTGGAAGTCCAATGATTGAATGCTGTGCCTTAATGTCCGTCAGTTTGCAATATCTAATTTCAGTTTCATGCCTTTTATTAATTACCTTCTCGACTTCACAAAGTGTGCTGGCATTATTAAGAGACTTTTTAATAATGCTATTAAATGATTCAACACTTTGAGTGCTCTGAATGCCAGCATTGAATTGGAATGGTGCGTAAGCTTTGGCCCAACTAATCCGATTAATATACAATTTTTTGGTCATATAATGTTCACATCCTGGAAATGTCTTCACCATAAATTCCCATCGTTGTTCAAAAATCTCCATACTTAAAGCATTTCGACATGAAAAAAAAGCCTTTTTGAACTCATTGAAATTTGAACCCAAAGATACTTTGAGATGCTTAATTATATTTTGCCAAATGTAGAACATATAATAAAAGTGATGCGTATCCAGAAAAACTTGAGAAACAGCACTGATTAAGCCAGGTTCAGAATCAGTCCAAAATGACTTTGGAACTACATTATTTGTTGCCTTTAACAAACATTGTAAAATCCAAACATACGTTGAAAAAAGCTCGTCCTCCATTAACACATTTGCTACATTTCTAAATCTTCCGTAGTTATCTTTTATCATAAAAACACTTAAGTACATATTATACTTATTAGTTTTACATGTGTTATCATTAAGGACCACATCAGAAAACCGTCTATATAATTTTTGTTGGGAGGGTGACATCCAAAAAACACCTGATAACCGACGTTCATTGCCAGAATGTCTTATAAATATCTTCCAACGTGGATCCGAAGACATTTTTTCAAAAAGACTGTCAAGTAAAGAAACAGAATCGGACCTCTCATTATCATTTTGACGCAATTTATAAATTGCGTTATACACATCTTGTCTATGAAACACATGTTGTGGATACTTCTTTTTAAGTAATTCTAGTTGAGTAATAGATGCAACCTTGCATTCCAAAAAAAAATTAATATCTTGAATCATCTCATCACTAAAACATCGATACCTGGCACTAATATCCGATACCTGTGCAGGATTGATTTGATGGCTATGTGTATTTTTTAGTGTTGTACATTTGATTTGATAAGAGGTTTTTGGAAGTGTAAAGTTGCAATGCCATTCACAACTTTTTTTTGTAGTACTGCGTAAGCGGCGTGAATTTTGATCAATTACTTTACGAGCTTTATAAACACTACCTGATGAACAGCAATAAGATTTTCGACGACTAATGTCAGGATCATTTTGGTCTTTATCATTACGGAAAGCTTGATATCTAAAACCCCATTCAAAACAATAATTATGTATAAACCTATCAACAGCTTCCCAGTCATTAAAACAATCACCCACATGAAGGTTATATTGATAGCTGAGAACACTTAATTCCTCAAAATTATTATCATATTCAGAAAAACTAGCATCACTATTGACAAAATCGTTATCACAGTCATGAAATGAGGTATTATTGGATTCGAACAGTGACGAAGAAAGTCTTTTATTAACTAGGTTACTATTATCACCAAAATTATTATTAGAAAATCCAGAAAGTGGTTGGTGATTCATATTGCCAAAATTATTATGAGAACCAGAAGGTCGTGCAAGATTCACATTGCCAGAATCATTATTAGAAGGTTCAAAAGGTCATACGAGATTTATATCGCCAAAATTATTATTAAAAGGTCCAGAAGGTCGTGCAAGATTCATGTCATCAAAATTATCATTAGGTCCAGAAGGTCGGGCAAGGTTCATATCGCCGAAATTATGTCTTGTATTGACTAGATTATTATTATCACCAAAATTATTATTAGAAATCCAGAAAGTGGTTGGTGATTTGTATCGCCAAAATTATCACAAGAACCAGAAGGTCGTGCAAGATTCACATCGCCAGAATCATTATTAGAAGGTCCAAAAAATCGTACGAGATTTATATCAGCAAAATTATTATTAAAAGGTCCAGAAGGTCGTGCAAGATTCATGTCATCAAAATTATCATTAGGTCCAGAAGGTCGG